TTCTGATGTCAACTATAGCCTCATGTAGGAAGCCTTTGTTCTCATAAATAAAACGAAAAGGAGAAAGAATAAAAAGGCTGATGAATAAAAACGTCAAAAATATTAGCAGGAGAAACTATGTCCAATTTCATTGTGAATAAACTCCTAGGATTAATGATGTAAAGAATGCTGTTAGTAAGCGATGCCGTCCAAAATGAACTTTAAACTGTACTTTAATCTCTAGCCTGGACTCACTGAGAGGCACTAAGACACAGTGTTTGTTTGTTTGAGTGAATATACTGGTCTCTGGTAAGACCCAACTGGAAAGTGAACCCGGTGACAAATTTATATACAGTCAGATGTCAGTTTATTAGGTACAACTAGCTACAAGTAACACAATCTAATACCACAGCCCTGCAACAGATTCTACCTTTATCAAGGTTATAATGTTCAGGTGCTGATTCAACTTTATGGTCATTTTGAAAGCTGTGGTATGTGGTGTCTGTGTTGTAAGAAGAGGTGTTTATAATAGTCTAGTGAGCACATTAGTACAAATAGGCAAGGACTAAATATTATAAACATATCTCACTATTTATGGTTTAATACAGGGCAGATAGTTACTAGGTGTATCGATGGCAACGGAGTATAAAAGTATAAAGTGTTTCCCTAAGTGAAATACAGATTGGGCCTAAATGTTGTATTCAAATACATTGTTTTTATTGACAGCAATACCATAAATGCTGTTGAAACACGGTGCCGCTGGAAAGCTCGTCTGTAATGGAGGGTTTGTTTTGGTTGGGTGAATCGTGCCTCACTTACATAATGTCGGAGTTGCACTCGTACATCAGTTTGAAGAGGAGAGCCAAAAAACAAAGAAAAAAAAAAAAAAAGCTCTTACCACGATCGTTTGCTTTCCAAACACAGCCCCCTCATCTACCTCTGCAGCACTCGCTCTCTCTCTCTCTCTTCCTCTCTCCAACTCATTCTGTCTCTCTCAGACCTTTGCTGCCTCTCTCACCCACTCCTCCCTCACACATCACCCCTCTCATTACTCAGCTGAGAGAGGCCAATCTGAGGGAGTGTGAGGAGTGTATGTGTGTGACTGTGTGAGCGCCTGTGTGAATTTGACTGGAGCTGTTACTAACCCCTTGTCCGTCTTCACCTCTGCTCTTCTGCTTAGAAATCTGATCAATCAAAGAAACCGAGCCTTCAAGCCTGAGCACTTCCATGTTTCATTGAATAACTTGAGCAGTTTATTTTTTTTGAATAACAGTGTTATGTGGCAGAGCATATTTCAGCACCACTATCATCATCAGGAACTCAATCATGTTCCATTTCACCAGTAATTTCCTAGTGTGTGAGGGAATAACTAACTGTCTGTCATATGTGATGGGTTCACATGGTTCTGTCAGATGAAATTTGGAACCTAATGGTAAAAAAAAAAAGCAAATAAAACACCTTGGGCAAATGTACAGTAAGGCAAATATATTTCTCTAGTTGTTGTTATTCTCTGACCTTGCTGCTCAAGTATGTGATGTGATTGATAATTCATGTATAAAATACCCAGCATCCAAGTGCATTACTGGACCTATTCTACAAAGGCCAAGCTATGGAATCTCACCAAGACATGAATGCCAATCGGGGTTACAAAGCTACTAGAAACTCTGGCCATCAACACTTTGTTGTACTGTGCACTTGCAAATTATGCTGACTCTCCAGTTATGTGCACAATGGTGCTGATAAAATACATTTCAGATGTTGCTGATCGCAACTTTTAGGCGGCTACTTGCTGTTGGTTATAAAAGCTCTGCCGAGGTCCATGGTCCATGAAATGACCATGGTGAAGTACTCATTTCTATACCAGAAACATAGTGGTGATTCAAATTTTGGAAATGAAAGGAAAAAAAACAATGAGCCAAAGGAGGAAGAAGTGTTTTGGTGATGAATTCAATTCAATATTGCAAGAAGTCATGGCGGAAAATTGGCACAATAATCCCACCTTGAACGGGCAGTGTAAAAAGGGCTTTAGCCCTGACCCGCAATGCTGCAGGCACTGTGGCATGGCCCAAATCATGGAAGTGTCATCATGGCACATAGACCAAAATTACTTTGCAAAAAACCAGATCAGCCTTAAACCAGCCACAGCCTAAAGATAAGCTGTTTGATTTGTTTTCTACATTCATATGCTCAGACAACACAAGGCAAACAAGAGCATCCTCAAGAGGTGACTATGTTATACAACACAGATTCACCCTTTTCCATAAGAGGTGCGAACATTTGGAACAAGTTACCAACTAGCATTAGACATTGCCCTACCCTTGTGCAGCTTAATTACAATTAATTACAATTGAAGACCTGGCTAAAGTATGTATGCAATCAGTGAGAACTTTTGTAATTTTAGTAATGTTTTGATACGTATATCTGTATCTTAGATGATAATGCAATTTAACTGCAATGCAATGTTAACATTAGGATTTTATAGTGTGCTATCTTTAGTGTCTTTTTTTATTGATAAATGTTTTAATGACATCAGATGTAATTTTCTTGTATGATGATAAAGTATGTGAAATTTTCTAACATCTTTGAATTTCCTGTCCAGGAACTACAAATGAAGTTTAACTCTGGGGGGGCAGTCAATCACTGTCCACTGTCCCTGTTAAATAAACTTTTAAAGTAAAAATGTGAAAACATCATTTACAGAATATGAGCTAGCTTCTGCAAGGCTATATATGTATATGGTATATGGGCTGGCTTTGTTATGTGGTTCTTATTTAAGCGTGTCCTAATCTGGGACGGTTAGTGTATGTGTACAGTTTAATACTCACACATCTACATCTGGCATCAAATCCAGCTTGCTGGGGAAAATCTCAGACAGGAGCACTCGAGTGATGGACTTGCCCAGTGACTGGAGCTTTGACTCCAGGTGCTAGGAGGGGAAAGAAATGGAAAGGTTTGCAATCCAAACATGGAACACAATTGTCTCTAGGGCTGTGACACTCCACTGTAAGAAATTATAAAACACAGTGCCTTAATTCCAATCCAGGGTCGACCAGACGTTATTATTCTGTTACTAATTTCAGGGGCAAAGACTATAGTATCCAGCACTCAGTCTTGGAAGCCTCATACCACACATGCATATGCAGCCTTCATGTTGTCAGAGGGCAACAGATAGGTCCTTCCCCTCAGCTATGCCCTCCAGCTGCTCCTGGCATTCTCAGGCTAAATTGGGATGTTTAATCCCTTCATCATATCCTGGGAGTTTATCTGGGTCTCCTTCCAGTTGGCTCATGCCAAATGCCTCCACTGGGGAGCATCTGGGTTACATGCCCAACAAACCTCAACAGACTATTTCTGGAGCCAAACAGCAGCAGTTGTACTCCAACCTCCATACAGATGTTCAGTCTCCTCAACCTGTCACTGTGTGCCATGACAAACTGCAAAGAACTCATCACCTCTGTCCTTTATTTCAGTGTCCACTCAGATCAAAACTGTAGGACAGAACAGGAACTCAGACCAAGCACTTTTGCTTCAGACTTTACAAATAGCTGGCACAATCCCGACATTATTGCCACTTGTCTATCTCCTAGTACATCTAATATTCACTAATAAAAAAAAGACAATGTGATATTTAACGTCCTTAACTTTGGACAGGTATTAATTCCCAGCCCAAATGGAGGAATCCATTTTTTTTTCCAGCTGAGGAACATACTCTTACGCTTGGACGTTCTGACTCTCCCAGTCCCACAAGGCTGGTCCATTGATGGACAAACAGGAGGGAATACAGGACATTTCACTCATCCTCAAACTGAGGTTCAACAAATGGCTGAGCAAACAACAGTTTGCCCTCTACAACTCAGATGTGACCTTTACAGGTAAAACTCCAGCATTTCCCATATCAAAGAGGAACAGCCCAAGAGCCAGTTTTTGAAGCCAGGGTGTATTACACCAAAGCCCCCAGCTGTGCTTTATTTTCACAAACCACCATATTACCCTGAAAGGTAGTGGGCCTACATGGAGCTGGCCCTGCTTTACTTCCTCAGGCTTAGTTGAGTTGATCCCAGTGGGTACTACATCCAACACCAGGCTTCATATAACCTATCAGTAATGAAACTGTTTAGTCAAAGGGACTTTGTTCCCTGCTGACTCTTCCTTTGATGTTTTGGGCAATGGCTGCTGGACTGAGGTGTTACTGAGGGATGCAGGAGGCAGCCAAACCATGTGAAGAAACTCTATAAATGTTCCTTTGGTGAGATAAAGGTATGAGTGTTGCTGATATCACTGCCCTTGGGAGAAGCATGAGGCATTTCTGCAACTGTGCTTTTATCCCAGATAATTCTGTCCACTTACTTCAGAGGTTATCTGAAACAACACTTGTTCATCTCGGGACATTGCTATGGGACAGTTGGTGGCTCTTTTAATTTAAATCCCCTTTCAAATCCATCATCTCCTGCCACCTAAAAATGAAATTTTTCACGCTCGGGTTGACATTTTTATGTCAGTGTTAACTTGATCTGGAAATTTAGGGAAGAAGTGAAGAAACAGAAAGGCATCAATCAAAGCCCAGAAATGTACACTGACTGATGAAACCTAGGTGTGCTTTAAAAACATTTAGCATCCACGTGTCTGTGCATTCTACCATACCTCAATGTACGAATACTAATTTTGGGCATGACGATGTAAAGAAAGCAAAGCTAATAAACTAATTCAAATACAAAACAGTACAGCAATATAAAACAAAAGGCAGGCTAATATAACAAAGAAGAAAGAATAAAGAGAACCATATAGGGCAGGCAGTGGAGGTGAGAGCAGCCTTAGTTTAGAAGTGATCAGAGAAGGCTTCTCAGTCCTTCGATTGGTACTCCCAGGTAGACCTGTGTGCATGCTAATGCATAATAGCTCATACTTGGAAAGACTCTGAGTTTATCACTTATAAGTCTGGACCTAATGGACCAGCATGTGTGTGAGATCACAAACAGTATTTATGATTTCCCAGGCTATCAGTTCGATCAGTGCTCCTAGTTGCTGAACTGACACTGAATGTTGATACAGCTGGTAAAAAGTACAAAAACAAGCAACTGTAATCAGAAACTTGGATGGCTAGGGTTTTCTAAGTCTATATCCTAAAAGTTTTAAAAAGGTAAGTTTCACAGGATTATCACACTTAACCTTCTGAATTATGTTTGGCAGTTTGCTGAACATGAGCAGCAATGTGGAGTGATGGAATTTTTCAGATTAATTTCATTTATGAAATTCTCTATTTAGTAGGATTGTGCTGTGAAGAGCTAGCATGATTATGTAAAGTATATTTTTTAAAGCTTTTAAATATGTATTTAGGGTTGATTATTTCTCATTTATGCTGCCGAATTGAAACTGACATCCCTAGCACTAACATTCCAATATAGGAGGACTTTCTGTGACCGCTCAGCTGCATCATGTTAAATGTGAAATAACAAGCCCCCAGTGTGAAAACTGCTTGTCCTATTAGTACTTCATGTTACCAAATCACTTGTCAGAGAACCTCACACTGAAAAATATTACAAACCATTGCACAAGTGGCCTCAGGACATACAGAATGCTGAAATCAGAATGTAGACTCTAACCTCCAGGACTTTGGGGCTGCCTTGCCGGCCCAGCGTGCCCAAGATCAGGCCCCATCTCTGGCCTGAACAAGCCTTCTCAATTGCCTGGAGCCTTAAGGCACGCATACCCTCATGGTCATAGTACTCTCTCGAGAAAAGCTTAGTGTAGGGGTCATAACTGCAAAAACACACCAGAAGAAAACTGATAACTGCAAAAACACACCAGAAGAAAAAGGCAAATTATACACAATACCATTTACTGTTTAGAAATTCTTCTTGAGGACAGAAATGCAAGAAAAGAGGAAGAAATCCAATCATGAAAAGGCATCAAGTATGACAGGAGTTAGTCTACCTCAGGGAAAATGGAGGTATTTGTGAGCATCTAATCTCCTTTTCTCCAGTACAAAGAGTTCACTTGAGATTAGAATCTTGTTTATGAGAGACCTGTGATCTGTGTGGCAGTGGATATGTTTATCACAACATGATTTCACTTTGCATACAAACAAGACCTCATCAAAACAGAACTTCCTTCTCTCAAAACATTATCGTGACACTCCATTAGGGCGAGCAATGATGACTGCAAAGGATTTTTATAATTTCAATATCAGTATAAAAACATTTCTACATACATAAGGATAAGGATAATCACCTTTATTGGCCAAGTATGTTACACACAAGGAATTTGTTTCCGGTACAGAACCGAGGCAGCCATCTGCGGTGCCAATGGCTCTAACCATTGGGGGCAACGAGGGGGGTTCAGTGTCTTGCCCAAGGACACTTCGACATGTGGACTGCAGGCACCGAGATTCGAACCTCCGACCCTCCGGTTGGGAGACGGCTGCTCTACAGTCGTCTCAGTCTATATTTGCAAAATTGCTTACTTTTCTCCTTTTGCAATCATCTACAATATTCCATTAACATGTTTCAGTTCCCGTATTGTGTAAATAACATTAGAGCTGTACTGCTAATTGACTACAATGAAAATGCCGTCAATGAAATCGGTAAATTATAGAGGGGAAAAAACTGAAGACAAATGGTTCCTTTTTTTACGATACCTGTAGGCAGGGATTTCTGGGTTTGCGATCATGATTGACTCCAGGTGAAACCTTCCATCTCCCAGATAACTATTAAAAAAAAACACCAGTCAATAAAATGTTAGCGGTAAAGAAAAGAAATGAAGAAAAACAGAGCATACACAAGAAAGAAATTCAATGTGCAACACTAATAAATACTGGCCTATAAATCTCGTATCCTTTTTCACTCTCACTCTTTGTTTTCTTAAATGTATTCCTCTCTGAAGCCAAACTGTTACCAGGCAGAAGGCAGAAGGCCTGGAGCTGGGGGACTGGGTCTGTCTGCTGTAGTTTGGGAACATGAACCTAATGACTGGAGCATGCTGTTCACACAGAATGCAACCCCTCCCAATTAATCCAGGGTCTGGTGCTGGAGTTTCACCACAGCCAAAGTGGAGGCTGGGTTCACAATCCATAAGATGAGAGAGGCATGTAGCTCAGGCAGAGCAGTGTTACATAAACCTCCCTCTCCTGGTCAGGCTGAGAGGAATCCTGCAGTTAGTGTGAGGGTGATTAGGTTGGTACCCCTACTCATTACTGTACTGTACAGTCTGAGTAGGCCTGCTGAGACAGGACATGCAGTTAAACCCACTGACTGGTCAACACTTAAAGCAGCTTGGAACAGGCTGTGGGTGGACTGCCATATAGGCTATCTGGAGACATGTCTAGCCAAGACTGTATTTCTATGTGTGTGTGTGTGTGTGTGTGTGTGTGTGTGTGTGTGTGTGTGTTTAACATTGTACAACAACACAAAATGAACTCGAGCAAAGCCTCTGCTGCACTGCTTCTTTGCTTAGCAACGTCCACGGCCCTCATGTTCCCAATTATGTTCCCAACAATAAGCCTACTACACTTCAGCCAAATTCAACCTCTTAGCAGGCTTGGTATGCTCAACTCTAGCTTTCCCTGTGATCGCAGTCCTTCCATCTATGTTCTCTTGTTCTCTGCAAAAGGGCTCTTGCTATAGTGGTAAATATTATGCGTCTTTGCATTATGCAACACCCCATTTTCACATTCACATCTGCATAGTGTTCCATTACAAGCGAGGGCTAGAGTAGAGGCAACCGATATAAATGGTCGACTGATCATTTCATATAACTCTTTTCAATGCACTTTCAGCTTTTAAAAATACTTTTCTTCATTTTAATAACAAGACAGTCCAGGCTGTTTCTAAAGCTCCAAGATGCACCTCAAAGGCTAATGTACCACTGCTCATTCTTTATTATGCTCAAGTAGTTCAAAGCTTAGGTAAAATTCAATTACGACATATAACACTGACTCATTCCTAATCAATGCAAGATAACACAATGTAAAATATGAATTTATTTTACTATTAAAGGTTACAAATATAAACTGATTAGAGAAATTGTTTGGTCTGTGCTGCTTTTCTCAGAGCTAGTGGATAATCAATTGAGTAATTCATTAAGGCAAAGGGCAGCTTGTTAATAAAGGGAAACCTTCAGGTATACAGTGGTTTTTTGCAAACTTTATAGTGTTTCCAGGTTTCACTTGAAATGATTAAAACTGTCATTCATCTACACTCAATAATCCATATGGAAAAAATGAAATATGGTTTTAGAAACTGTTAGATATTAGTAAATCAGTCAGATAATTATTAGACATTAATGTGTTGAATTAAATGTATTAGTAATGCAGTTTAGTAAGAATTAAAGTCTGCTCTAATCTGCTCTGTTTCAAGGTTGACAGATAAGATGTTGATTCTGAAAAGTGTACCTTGACACCAACTGTTTTCTTGTATTCATCATGCGTTATATCTGAATGAATGTCTTAGCTAAGCACCACGTGACAACACACACGCACAGTGAAATTCCTCATTTTGTTATGACCAGCTGCTCCAAGCCTGTGGCGCTCTAGATAAGAGATGGAGTCTGTGGACTGACTTCATCTGGGTAAGGGTTAGCCCAAAACTTATAAATGTATTAGGCTCTGTGTGGCCTGGGACTCCTTCTCTCCAGCAGCCAGTGTCTGTGTTTCTGGAGGAGGGAGCAACCTGGGTCGTGTTTGTAATTTTTGCTTTTGGTTAAAATAATTAACTCCTTCGTTATTCAGAGCTGTCCAATTAAAGAACTGGGGTATTACATGTGTCATCTGTGTGAATGACCCAGAGATGTTTAAATGCCTGAGACTTCCCACTAGCTAGGCTGTGTATGATGAATGCCATTACAGTATGCCCAGACACAAATCTTCAAAAAGAAAGAAATGCCACACAACAGATAACTTTTATAGTAGACTAATGTTTTCTTTAAGAGGATAGGCGCATGTAAGGTTTGTTGCAGTGCTGTAAAGATGATTATCCACATCTGCAACCCAATGAAAACTGCAGCATCCTGTGTGGTGACGTCCGGCTGTTTTAAACGCACTAGCACACAGTAGCTCAGTGGTTACTTCGTACTGCGAGTCTGTTTGATTAAGCAATTCCATCGGTTTCTGTGACCAAAGCACAGGCGCTGTTCAGTGTTTTGTAGCCTACTACACAACAACTAGCTTTTAGCTGTTGTTTTCTATACTGGGGATACGCATATAGGCTATGTTGCGGTGCTGTGCGGTTGTTTGGCCAGAACTATGACATAGAGTAGACAGCAGTAGTCTTTATAAAGAGACTTTCCTCGTTGTCCCACGCGCTGGTGTAGCTCAGTGGTTACTTCGTACAGCAAATCTCTTTGATTAAGCAGTCAACTCCCTCCCCGGGATCAAACCACGGGCGCTGTCCAGTGCTTTTGGTCTCCCCCCTCGTGGTTTGAAGAGTCGTCAGTATTTATTTATCACTTTTTAATATTGTCACAAACATCTGGATTAATATAGTTACACTGAGGAAAGCCGTCTCAGTTTGGGGAATATAATAGTACATATTTGTTTCAGTGAAGAACAAAAGAACAGGGGGTCACGTGGTGCGTGTTGCTGTTTAGTTCATTGATTAATTATTCTCTGGTGTTGTTTTATAGACGTATTAGCGAAATATCGCAAGAAGTTGAGACAATTATGCCAAAAAACTCCAACCAGACACTCGCCTCAACACTGATCCCTCCCGGCTATGATAGGTGTAGACCTAGTCCGTATTTTACCTGCATCAAAGTAAAGCTTCTTCCGGTTGTATCTCTACTTTTCAAAATAAAGCTTCGGTCAAGCAATTTCTTTTGTTTATTGATTTTAAATGAATCTCTTCATTATCACTTTTCAGTTTTCTTACTAATGTTGTGACTGTTACTCACATTTTAAAGTGCTTTGAAGTAAAATCACTGTCATATGTATTTTTATAATCATTGGAATACTGGAATATAAAAAATACCATTGTCTCTATTAGACACCCTTTAACCTGTTGTCATATTTGTCTTTACATCTCTCTATTTAAAGTCAAGCAGCTTATCTATTAGTCAATTAAATATAATTTATGAAAAAGTATAAAGAGTAATCCTTATTGGACTTAGTTATATCACATAACATAACATTTTTCATAAATTCTATATAAATACTGAGCAAAGGCTCTGAATAC